GGACTTTCACATACTTCACTGGACCCTCCCAAATACTATCTACTGGGAAGTGGTTAAAGACACAGACTAGCAGTGGAGTCAGGCTGACTAGGGTTTGGATACTAATTCTGCCCCTTGGTAAGTGTGTTACCTTGGGCAAGTTATTTAACCCCTTGAATTTCAATTTAGTCATCTATAAAATAGGGGCTTCACAGAGTTTATGAGAGGTTTAAATGGGATGTTGGTGAAGTTAATTAACCATACAAGCTTCAGTGCCCACACCTACAAAGTGGGAGTGGCGGAGAGGAAATTAATAAATTCATGTGACATGCTCAGAACCGTGCCTGGCACATATTAAGTGCTCAGTGAGAGATATTAGCAACATGAGTACTAATATTTATATAAAAACCAAACTCACTGCCATCAAGTCGATTCTAACTCATAGTGACCCCACCCATTGGGTTTCCAAGGCTATAAATCTTTACGGAAGCAGACTGACTCATCTTTTCCCCTTGGAACAGCTGGTGGATTTGAACCACTGACCTTTAGACCACAGCACCACCAGAGCTCCTTTACATATTCATAATAATACTAAGCACCTGGCAATTTCCAAATGTTCAACTCATTATTCGGAAGCAAGCAGCTTCTTTCACAGGCGAGGTGGGAAGCATGTTAGGCACACAGTAGGGCTCCCTGACCAGAGGCAGGTTCTATTTTGGCTATTTAAGTTGGATTATTGAGGGCCCATTTGATGTGGAGTAGAGTCTGGGAAGACTTCCTGAAAGAGGCCATTGGAGAAGGTGAGGTGGGTCATTCCAGACAGCAGGGGATGACTGATCATTCTAGAAGGCTGGCGATGTTGGAGGGGTCATCAAGGATGATGCCAAGTGCATTACATCACCGACTTTCACGCTTTCCATTTCCCAAACAGAGATGAGCCTTCCCATTTTACAGATGCTGTAAGAGGCCCAGCGAGGGTCAGCACGCTGTGGAGTTCACAGGACCCCTCCAGGAGCCCAGCACTTGGGAGGATCTCTGTGAACCTCCCAGGATTCTCCCCAATTCCAAGAAGGACCCTGAGCCTGTCTCGCACTTGGGGGGCCTATCTCCCATGAGAAGCAGTGCCCTTCCCATCCAGAGGACGTTGGTCTGGGGTCCTTCAAGCTTCTCCTAGGCATAGGACTCCCATTGTTCCAGCCCCCCTCTTGTACCTCAGACTGGCCAAACCGGTTCTGGAGAAGGGGGGCGGGGAGCAGACACGTTGGGACAGCCGCCCGCCTGCCTGCAAGGTTCCCTCCGCCTTCGCCTCCCCCCTCCCTGCCCCACACAATACCCAGGCGATTCCATAGCCCGGCTCAGGGGCCACACTGACATCGCCCCCTGAAGACCTGGCTGCAGCCCCAAAGCCCCCAGAGGGGCCTAGTGGCCTGGAGCCTTGGAGCCCTGATCGGTGCCGGCAGCTAGACGGAGCTCCCTGGCTGAGGTAGGGCCCCCTGGGATGCCAGCGGCCCCATTCTCCTCCCACCAGTCTACTCCAGTGAGTCCTTTGTGCCGCCTGCCTGGCCTCTGATCCTGGCCCCCACCCACTCATGGTCTCCTGGGGTTCCACAGTCTGCTTGGCCTACATCCCCTTCTCCAGTCATGACCTCTTACCTGGCTTTATCCTTTAGGGGGCAGAGGGATCTTGGCAGGGTTCCTGCTCCTCTGGGCAGCAGGTCCAGGGGCACCAGGGAGGGGGCAGGGAAAGGTTTGGTGCAGGAGGCCAGAGGTGCTTTTCCCGGATCATGGTCATGTCCAGGGACCCTCGCTGCCAGCCTTGCCAAGTGAGCTCAGTATCTTCTGTGATTAACAGTGCCCACTGGATGGGATCCTCCTGGCCACTGCCCATTCTTCTTGGCCTACAGAGATACTTAAGATGACACAGGTTGCCTAGAGGGCACAACTGGGAGAGGCCTTAGAGGTCACTTTACAGATGGGACATGGGGACCCAGGGAAGGGGTATGAATTATGAAGCCCTCACTGATGTCCAGGGTCAGTAGTGGACCTTGAACCCTGGGCAGGTTTTTTTTCCCCCCCATGGATTCCAGTACTTGTCTAATAAGAACTTGTCTCTATCCTGTGGCCATGTCCTGGCCAGGCAATGTCTCTGCTACCTGGGACCAGTTCTTTCTGAGTTTTTGTGCTTTTCCCTAGCAGAGATGAGCTGTGTGCAGCTCAACAAGAGGTGACCATAGCTTTGCCCTTGCCTTTGATCTCCAACACTGCACTTGGGTTGACCCATCACTGGAAGGCCACTGGGCTGCATTCCAGCTCAATAGATCATTCCCAATGCCCCTTGGTCTGGTCTGAGGTGGGGGCTGATTCTCCCTCCAGGGACCTTTCTCCATAGGACCTGCCCACCCTCCCCAGTAAGTCTCCCACCCCTCCACCCTCACCAAGTTAATTGTCTTTTTTGAGGCCTTGAATTGAGGGTGCCCCTGCCCCAAAGCCTCAGCGGTTTGCTCATCTATCCCTATAACTGACATGGGTGGAGAGGGGACTCTACCCTCCAGAACTTTGAAAACAAACGGAGAGAATCTCCCAGAATGCAAGAGAGGAGGGCACATGTGTGTGCTTGCACATATATTCCCACAGAAGCAACTGGAACTGCTGTGCTGAGAACTGAGTTCTGGAGAGAAAGAGACCCGTTTGGCAAGAGACCCTGGGTCTTCTGCCACATGCTTCTACAAAGTAGGGTGTGTCTCATCCTCACTGTTTCACTTTCCTCATCTGTGTAATGGGCAAAGTCATTCCTCTGGCTAGAGAAATATTGATGATGATGATGATAATAATACTACTCAGAAAAAATGACTATCAATTACAAAGTTTGCACTATGTGCCAGATGCTTTACTTGTATTAATTCTCACATTAGCATTATGAAGTGGATTGAGTATTCTATTTACCAGATGAGGAAACTGAGGCTTAGAGAGACTTGCTCAGATAGCCAGCCTGGGTGTGGTCAGGCCTGAGGGCCAGAGGCTTGGGGTACCAGTTAGAGGTACCCTGTAGGGAGGACCTGGAGGGGTAACTGCTCCTTAGCATCCAACTCCCTTTTTTTCTTAGGCAGGGGACAAAAAGAACAGAAGGAAGCAGTTGAAAGGCTGTGCAGAGAGTGTGGGGCCCAGCCACAGACCCAGCTGTCCCCACTGAGTTCTCTCCTCTCTCCCTCTCCCAGGGTCACTGACACTGTCACTGTCTCTCTTAGGTCAAGACTCTCTCCCTCTGTGCACCCTGGTGTCCCTGAGTATTTCAGCCATGGAACAGTTAGCTATCACCTCCTCCAGGAAGCCCTCCTGGAATCCCCACCTCAAGTTAAGCCCAGCATCCTACTCTGATAGTTCCTCTGGCTCAGCACTTGCCAATGTGGATCGTAACTGTTCTCTTTGGCTGCCCCGTTATACTGACAAACCCTGGGGGCAGGAAATGTTTGTCCTTCTGTCTCCCTAGGTTTCGCTGGGTTTCACATTCTGGTCTGTTTCTGAGTATCTTGTCTGTTGGAAATTTTCAGTTTCTTTGTCTCCATCCCTGGGTCCCTGAATGTCTTAATGTCTGTGGTTTTTCTGTTTTAGGTTCTCTGTTTCTGAGTCTCTGAGTCTCTTTCTCCTGGGTCTCCTAGCCCTGGCAGGCTGGGCACTGTCCCTTTGGCCTGAAGGGCCTGTGGATGGGGGGGGTCTTTGCTGCCTTGCCTGCCCACAAGGAGGCCAGGCTTAGGGCAGGCCCCCGCCCAGCCCGCCACCGGCTCCCTCCCTCCCTACCCGCTTGCCTCACCACAGGGTTTGATGAATCAAACTCTTTGTCTGGGTGGGATCTCCCCCAGCCAGCTGGGCAGAGAGAGGGCTTCCCCAGCAGCAATCGAACAGCATCAGCAGTGGGCCTCGGCTGGAGAGGTGAGGGGCTGCCAGAGGGTGGCCAGTGGAGAGCCACAGGGCAAAGGCTGTGGGGGCTCAGTCTCCTCATATCACGAGGTCTGCCCCCAATGCTCCCGCAGACTCCTGGGAGATTACTTCCTGCCCAGAGAGGATCCTTTCAGCCTAATGGGATCTTAGACCTGGGAGCTGGGATGGGGAAAAAACCCCCCTTTCACTTCAAACTAGGGGGCTAGGGTGGCTCCTTGTCCTTCTCCTGGGAGGGCCCAGCTTGATCTGGGTGGTGGCCTGTCTGCCAGTCTGTGACTCTCCCAGCCAGCTTGGCATGGGTGTGGGCACCGTGAGTGCTGAAAGCTGCAACTTTGGGCATGGTGAGGGTGCTGGGTCATAGTGAAGCAAGGCCTTCTGGACCTGTGTGTTTGTCTGAAACCTGGTGTATGAAAAAGCATGAGTGGAGGTGTAAATATCTGATGTGTCAGTGTGCATGTGTGTGAGAAGGTGTCTTTGTGTGAATATCCATAATTGTGTACAAAAGTATGTCTCTGAATGTGTGAACCTGTGAATTTAAAATGTCTGTCTATGATAGTGTGTATGTCAGTTATGTGTGTATGTACGTGGGAGAAAATGTGTGAATGTGTAGGCTGGTACATACATGGATTTATGCAATAATGTTTGTATCTGTATGTCCAATCATGCGTCAGTGTGTATTAGAGAATGTGAGAATCAGATGTGTGTGGAGATGAGGAAGTTAAAAGCACAGACTGGGGAGCTGGGCTGCCCGTCTGAATCCTGGCTCCACCATTTATCAAATAGCAACCTTTTGGTACCTCACTTTCCTCACTTACAAAATGAAGATAATGACAGCATCAATCCATAGGGTCATTGTGAGGTAATATGTGTACAGCGCTTGGCCTCCCTCAGATGCTCAGTTTCAAGTAAGTAGTAGTTATGACTATATAATTAGGTGTGTGAATGTGCTTGTACAGATGTGTATACACATGTGTACGCAGGTCTCATCCAGGATATGGTGGCTTTCCGGCCAGCCCTGCTCTCCAGTGTCTGGCTCTGATACTCTCTCCCCTGCAGGCCCAGGTGGGTGGCAGAGCAAAAGAGGAATGGATTGTGGGCCACCTGCTGCCCTCCAGCCCCACCTGGCTGAGCCACCTGGCCCTGCCTGTCGCCCAGTGGCTGTGTGCCAGCAGGAGAATCTGTCCTTTGCGGAGCTGTCCACCCTGCAGCCCCCAAGCCCTGTGTGTCTGGACCTCTTTCCTGTCACCCCTGAAGAGCTGCAGGCTCCTGGCAGCCGCTGGTCCTTGGGGACCCCTGCCCCTCTCCAAGGACTGCTATGGCCACCATCCCCAGGAGGCCCAGACACCAAGGTCTCCACCAGTGGGGGGACTCGGCCCAACAGAGCTGGCAGCTGGCCACACTGTCCCAGTGCCCAGCCCTCAGCTCTGGAGGGACCCTGGAGCCCCCAGCACCCACAGCCACTGCGCCGGGCCAGCCATGGTTCAGAGAAGAAGTCAGCCTGTGAGTCACTCTGGTGGGAAGCAGTAGGGCAGATGGAGACGGGCTGGGTGGCTCTTTTAGGATAATCCAAGTCCCAGAATTCCCAAAACGGTCAGGATAAGTGGTAGATTTTAGTGATCCAGGAACTAGGACTCAGGGAAGGCAAGTGACATGTCCAAAGTTAGAGAGTGAGTGGCTGTCCTGGGCATCTTGGCTCCTCTTGTTGAACTCTATGCTCTGGCAAAACCACTGGCCTTCTTCTTGGACATGGTGCCCAAACCTCCTTCAGATGCTCAGGGCCACAGGGCAGCAGCAGGGAAGAGTGTGGGAGAGACTCAAGTGGGTGCCAGACTGTGTCCCCGCCCCCACCCCTCTGCAGGGCGGAAGATGCGGGTATACCAGCGTCAGGAGGCCTCCAGCAGCCCTGAGGTCCATGCCATCTTCCTGGAACCTGGCCAGGATGAAAGGGAGCAGGCTGTGAGCACAGAGGAGCCTAGGCCACTGGAGCTGTCAGGGCCCACCCGCGTGGGCCTCGAGGGACCTGAGCGAAGGCGATTTTCAGCCTCTGAGCTCATGAGTCGGCTGCACTCCTCCCTGCGCCTGGGGAGGCATACAGCCCCTAGAGTCCTGGCCCCAGGGCCTGGTAATGGCCCAGCCCGGGAAGGTACCAGCTTCTCCTTTGAGCCTTGAGAACAGGCCATTTGCGGGTTGCGGGTTGGAGGCACAGCCTATTCCCTGGACTTAAAGCAGTGGGGCATGGCACCCCAGTGTCTAAGGCCACCCTCCAGGCCACCCACTCTCAGATCTCGCCCTTCTCAGGAAAAGCATCCGCAAGGGAGTCTCACAGTGTGGAGATGAGGGTGGAAGGTGTGGCACTGCCAGCCCCTGCTGACCCAATCGCGGGCCCTGGCAGCTGGTCCCAGCCCAGGTACCATTCCGTCCTCGGGCTCTTGGGTCCAAGGCTGGATGTGAGCAAAAAAGCACCCTAATGCTTCTTTTTCCCAGGATGGACATGCAGGAAGAGCCTGCTCTGGGTTCCAGGAGCTCCAGCGAGAGGCGCCAGTCCCGGTTTCTCCTTAACTGTACATGGGAGTGGGTAACAGAGGGTGGGGGTTACAGAGGAGGGGGCTGGGGCGGGGGAACTGGAAAACTGGGGTTTGCAGAGTTGGAGGAGGTAGGGATCATGTGAGAAGCCCTGGTGGCACAGTGGTGAAGCGCTAACTGAAATGTCCGCGGTTGGGACACACCAGCTGCTCTGCGGCAGAGGGATATGGCAATCTGCTTCCATAAAGATTACAGCTTTGGAAACACTAAGAGGCAGTTCTACCCTGCCCTTATAGGGTCTCTATGAGTCAATATTGATCATGTCAGAAGGGACCATTCCTTGGAGAAGGATGTCATGCTTGGTAGGGTGGAGGGTTGACGAAAGAGGGGAAGGCCTTCAACAAGATGGATTGACACGGTGGGTGTGATGATGGGCTCAAGTATAGCAGGGATCATGGAGCTGGCGCGGGATCGGACAGTGTTTTGTTCTGCTGTGCATGGGGTCGCTGAGTCGGAAACAACTCGATGGCACCTAACAACAACAACATGAGTCAAAATAGACTCAATGGCAATGGGTGTAAGTAGGGATCATATGAGAATTCTCAATATCTAGCACAGTAGCCAAAAGGTTGGCCATTCCAACCTACCCAGAGGCACCTGGAAAGATAGGCCTGGCGATCTGTTTCCGAGAGGTCAAAGCCTTGAAAACCCTATGGAGCAGTTGTACTGTGCACACATGGGGTTGCCATGAGTCAGAATCAATCCACCACAACCAACAACAAGTACAGGGGTTGGCTGAAGTTGGTCTCAGTGTTTATGGAATGAATGAGTGAGTGAATGACTGAATTCACTGTGTCGCGACCTCGCCCCTCCCCCGCCCCTGTCCCCGCCCAGCCGTCCTCTACCAGGAATACAGCGACGTGGCCAGCGCCCGCGAGCTGCGACGACAGCAGCGCGAAGAGGAGGGCCCAGGGGACGATGCCGAGAGCGCAGAGGAGGGGCCTGGGCCCCCGCGAGCCAACCTCTCCCCCAGCAGCTCCTTTCGGGCGCAGCGCTCGGCGCGAGGCTCCACATTCTCGTTGTGGCAGGACATCCCCGACGTGCGCGGTAGCGGGGTCCTGGACATGCTGAGCCTGCGCGACTGCAAACTACAAGAGGTGGGTGCGGGGACCCGGCGGTGAGGCGTCTCGAGGGGCAGGGCCAGCGGGGGGGGGGCACCGCTCGGGAGGAGGTCTTCTGGCCCGGAGGGGGTGGGGCGACAGAAGGGGCGGGGCTAGGAGTCCTAGAAACGGCGGGAGGTGGTTCCGGCATTTAGCTGGGGTGGGAGCTGCAGAAGCCCTGAGACACAGGGGTCTGGGCCCTGCAGTACTGCCTACTGCAGAAGAAGGGCTTGGGACCCAGCAGAAAAAAGGAAGCTGCCAATGGGGAGGGGCTGAGGAGGCTGTCTAAGTGGAGGGTGGGCGCTAGGAACTGACAATGTGCGGCTAGCCGGAAGCGAGGACTGAGGAGGGGCGGAGCCAATGGAGTGAAGGCCTGCAGGGCCGGGCACCAGGGTGGGTCAAGAGCTGGGGCAGGGTCAATGGGGGGCGGAGCTAATGGAAGGGCGTTCCACCAGAGAGGTAGAGTCATCGGATGACTAGGGGCCAGTCTGTGAGGTTGGTGAGGCCGGGCTAGAGGAAAAGGTGCAATCGGGGCATTGTGTGTGTGTGTGTGTGTGTGTGGTGTTGTTTGCTGTCGAGTCGGCCCCGACTCATAGCGACCCCTCCTTGGGTTTCCGGGGAAGGAGCTCTGGTAGCGTAGTGCCTAAGGCACTTGACTGCTAACCAGAAGGCTGGCGGTTCAAACCCACCAGCCACTCCTCGGAAGGAAGGTTGGGCATTCCTACTTCCGTAATGATACTGCCTCGGAAACCCAAGGAGGGGTCGCTATGAGTCGGGGCCGACTCGATGGCAAATAACAACAGCAACAACATCACTACGGAAGTAGGATTGCCCAGCCTTCCTTCCCGGCTACCTGGCGGAGAGTGGCAGGTGGGTTTGAACCGCCAGCCTTGGGTGTGGCAGCTGACTGCCCGAGGCCCTGAGGCCATCCCCGGGGGCCATCGGGGCATTAGGTGGGCTTAGGAGGCATGGTGGTACAGTGGTTAAAGCGCTAGGCTGTTGACCAAAAGGTCAACAGTTCAAACCCACCAGATGCTCACTTAGAGGGAACTTGTGTAAATATAAACAGCCTTGGAAACCGTATAGCAGTTGTACCCTGACCTATAGGGTTGCTATGAGTTGGGACTGACTTGATGGCAACTGTGGTTGTTTGGGTTTTTTAGATGAGCATGAACAACTGTTAGTAGGGGGCAGGGTGAAAGCAGAGCAGGGCTGGAGGAGGGAGCCAAGGTCATTCAGAGAGGTGGGGCCTAGAGAAGGGCCAGGAACACAGGTGCAGCTGTGCCTAAGGAGGTGGCCACCAAGACTTGAGGGTGGCCACCAAGACTTGAGGGTGGAGGATGCCAGACTGTGGCATCCGTTCTCTGGCCTGGCCCTTTCACTCCCATCTCTGCCCTTGCTCAGGCCAAGTTTGAGCTGATCACATCCGAGGCCTCATACATCCACAGTCTGTCGGTGGCTGTGGGCCACTTCTTGGGATCGGCCGAGCTGAGCGAGTGTCTGGGGGCGCAAGACAAGCAGTGGCTGTTCTCCAAATTGCCCGAAGTCAAGAGCACCAGTGAGAGGTGAGGGACTGCTCTAGCCTGGCCAGTAGTGAGGGCTGAGCGTGGAGCTGGCTGGGCTCCCAGGTTCAGGATCATTGCCCTACCCCTGACCACTGCCTGACCCCTCAGGTTCCTGCAAGAGCTGGAGCAGCGGCTGGAGGCAGATGTGCTGCGCTTCAGCGTGTGTGATGTGGTATTGCGCCACTGTCCGGCCTTCCGTCGTGTCTACCTGCCCTATGTCACCAACCAGGCCTACCAGGAGCGCACCTACCAGCGCCTGCTGTAGGGACTGGGGACTCAGAAGGGGGAAGCCAGAAGGGGGGTTCAGGCAGGGGTAGGCACACAGGACTGGGTGAGGAAGGCTGGGAGTGGTGGGCTACCCTGGGAGGGGACAGTGGCCGTAGAAGGGGCTGTGCAAACAGATGATTCCCAGCTCCAAGAAGCAGGAAGAGTGTGCTGGGAAGCACCTGAAACATGGGTGGAGTGGCCAGGGTCATGGATCCTGGGAGTGCAGGTCCACCTGTGACCCTAGAGCCCTTCACTTCTCAGCCTGGAGAACCCCAAGTTCCCTGGCATCTTGGCTCGCCTGGAAGAGTCTCCCGTGTGTCAACGTCTGCCCTTTACCTCCTTCCTCATCCTGCCCTTCCAGAGGATCACCCGCCTCAAGATGCTGGTGGAGGTACGCAAAGGGCCCCAGGCTGAGGATGAGGGCTGGGTGAGGAGGTGCTGCTGTGACCTCCACAGCCCTTCTGGAAATCACTGGGTGGTCAAGGTCATGGGGGAAGGATGTGTCCTGCCTCATTGTGCTGATCCTATCTTCCAGAACATTCTGAAGAGGACAACACAGGGCTCTGAAGATGAAGATATGGCCACTAAGGCCTTCAATGCACTCAAGGAGGTGAGCTCAGTGGACAAGGGCTTCCCCTGTACCCCCAAACCTATAGCCATCGATTCAATTCCGATTCATAATGACTCTATAGCAGAGAGTAGAACTTCCCCATAGAGTTTCCAAAGCTGTAAATCTTTCCAGAAGCAGACTACCCCATCTTTCTCCTACAGAGTGGCTGGTGGGTTCAAACTACAGACCTTTCAGTTAGAAGCTGAAAGCTTAAACACTGTGCTGCCAGGGCTCCCTCCTCTGAACCCCAGAGGTCTCTAGAAGAACCTCTAGCCTTCTGAGTCTCTGGTTCCTAGGTGGGAGTCTGAGGCTAGGCTCAGGGAGCTGGGATGGGGGCTGCAGGTGACCCATCCATGGCCTCCCCAGCTGGTACAAGAATGCAATGCCAGCGTGCAGTCTATGAAGAGGACAGAAGAGCTTATCCACCTGAGCAAGAAGATCCACTTTGAGGGCAAGGTGCATGCTCCTGGCTGTTGGGACTAGAGTGCACAAAAGGGCAGCTTCTGTCTCCTCCTTGCTTTGGGGCATGCTGGCTGGTTCCTCACTGCCCACACCCTCCCAGCCTCATCCTGGGCTCCCTATGCTGGTGTCCTAAGGCCTGACTTGCCCTCTCCCCTTCCTACTCCAAACCTCCAGATCTTCCCGTTGATCTCTCAGGCCCGCTGGCTGGTTCGGCACGGGGAGCTGGTGGAACTGGCACCACTGCCCGTGGCGTCCCCTGCCAAGCTAAAGCTGTCCAGCAAGGCAGTCTATCTTCACCTCTTCAATGACTGCTTACTGCTGTCCCGGAGGAAGGAGTAAGTCAAGGCAGATGGGGGGTAAATGGGTTGGATGCATGCTTTCTTCTTCCCCACCATTGGGCTCACAACCAGCTCATCACTGGGCTCAGGAGCCTCAGCCTATGCTAGGCTGTGCTGCCAGGGCACCCTGAACTTTGGAGGTAAAAATCAAAGGCTTGACTGTTTGCAGAGGACTTGAAGCTCTCTGCTTGGAGCTTAAGCCAGGTATTCAGAGCATAAGCCTGGAGTCCCAGCTCTGTCTTGAGTAATAATGAGAATAGCCAACATTTATTGAGCACCTTTTCTGCCAAACCCATTGCCATCAAGTTGATTCTGACTTAATAGCAACCCTTACTTACTCTCAAGATCATGAAGCTAATAGGTAGAGGAACTAGGAGCAGGCTGGGTGTATCTGATGCCCGATCCCAGATTTTTAACCAATATTCTCCATGTGTGAGATAGAACCTACCACCTAGGGCTACTGAGAAATTCTGTATGATAATGACACACAAAAAAGAGAGCTTAGCGGAGTGCCTGGCACATAGTGGGAGCTCATTCGGTGTTAGCTGTGATTATAATAGATAAAGGATGAGGGACACAACTTCTTGAATGACGTGAGAACATCTTATGTTACGGGAAGAGTTCATTCCTGATTTATTCATTTTTTCAGTCTCCTGTCACTGAATCCCTGCTCTGTACCAGACCCTCTTCTGGATGCTGCAGACATAAAGATGAATAGAACTTGTTACTGTGCTCCCAGGAGCTCTCAGACCAGTGAATACACATTCACATAATCATGAATGGAAGGTTATAATGGTACTGTGTCAGCTCCTGGTGTAGGGTGAGAATTAGTTAAGTTTGTAGAGGAAGGAACATTTGAGCTGGATTTTGAAGGATAAGTAGGAGTTTTCTAGGTAGAGAAGGTGATTTAGGGGTACAGAAAATCGTGGTAGGGTATAAGAGCAGAGCGTGTTTGGGAAATGATAAAGCCTAATATGATTGGATTTGTAGAGGGGAAGTGCAGGAGAGGGAAGCTGGGATGTTGGAGGTCATGATAGAGAAACTGGACTTACTCTGAGAACAGTAGGAAGGCATAGAGAGTTAGGCAGGGGAGAGACATTTTTCTCCTGGCCAGTTTGGAGGATGGACTAGAGGGAGAGAGACTGGAGGCTCTTGCAATTGTCCGGGTGAGAGTAGATGGAGTCTTCAGCTCCAAAAGTGGCAGGAGACTTGGGCATAAATGTATTTCAGGGACAACAAGGAAGTAAATAGAATGTGGCTACTGGTTGAGTGTGGGGGCAGGAAGAGGGAAGAAGCAAGGATGGCATCTGAGTATCATCTTGAGTGACATCTTGGGTCTTTTCCTGGCATGGGTATCAGAGAAGGGAGATCCAGTCTGGAGTGTAGATACTGGGTTCTGTTGTGAAGAAGGAACCTATGCAATATACTCCACCCACCCACCCACTCATTTATCCCACAAGTGTTTATTGAGCTCACATGTGGGCCAACCAGTGTCAGACACTGGGATAGAGAGGCAAGCAAAATGGATCAAGTTCAGTCTTCATGGAGCATATATAAGTTAGGGAGTCGGTTACTAAATAGTAAGGAAGTCTTAGCCAATGGCGTGGTCCAGGTAGCTCTTTAGCACTGGTTCTTGGGGAGACAGAGGTTCAGAGGGAAGTTGAGAGCATGCCTGGAGATCAGGGACTGGTCCTACCACCTTCCACCTCTGCAGGCACCTGGCAGAGTGGAGCTCCCAGTATCTTTTGGGGACTTTTCTGGCCACCATGGAGATCAGTGCCCTAGGCGTCCAAGTTTCACTGGAATAGGTGCTGAAGGGGCTGACAGCCAAGCCTCCTCCCTTCCAATCAGGAATCACCTGAGCCTGAGGCAGGCCAGGCTGACCTCCTCCCCACTGGTCCTCCAGGCTGGGGAAGTTTGCTGTTTTCGTGCATGCCAAGATGACCGAGCTGCAGGTGAAGGACCTGAGCCTGAAGCTCCAGGGCATCCCTGGGCACGTGTTCCTGCTTCAGCTCTTCCACGGGCAACACACCAAGCACCAGTTCCTGCTGAGGGCCCGGACTGAGTGAGTGGCCTCAGGGTGGGCCTGGATATGGTGAGGAAGGACCCAGAGGCAGGCACAAGGCCTAGGGGTGCCTGGGCCATCCCTGACCATATTCCCAGGTACCCAGTCTTCCCTGACTCAGGCAGTACAGGTGGGAAGAGAGCAAGTTTGGCTGGTTGAGCAATAGTGTGTGTCCTGGTCAATCATGCCATGGGGCTAGCCAGCTCCTCCTTGGTCTCTGGAAACCTCTTGGTTCAAAATCACTGCACCCTTTTTTCTCTGGCTTCAGAAGGGTAGCATAAGGCAGGATGTGGGCAGAGCTGGCATCCAAGGGGTTCTGGGCCTGATCTGTTCCTATGTTCAGAGGTGGGGGGGGCACAGACTTAGGAACAGGACTGTGAGCCCCAGGTTGGTCCTGGGTCTGAACATCATGCCCAGTTCTCCCAGCTCTAGTCTAATGGCTCTGGCACTGGGATCTTGGACTTTGCATGGTGTAACAACTTAGCCCCCTTCATTCTACAGGAGTGAGAAGCAGCGATGGATCTCAGCCATGTGCCCATCTAGCCCCCAGGAGGACAAAGAGGTCATCAACGAGGGGGAAGGTAGTAGCCTGCCACCCCCAGACCCCACATTTCCTGGGCTGGGGACATCCTTGGTCCCTCTCTCTCCTCCAATCCTGGGTACCAAGTTGCTAAGTCTGTGTAATGGGGTTAGTGAGAAGTCAGTCAGTCTGAGGAGGGATTTACATAAGACAGCCTAATCCCTGTATACAGGAGACTGAAAGCCCTTTTATATCCTCCCATTTTGACGCCTACAAAAGCCCATTTTACAGGTTAGGGAACAGAGACTCAGAGGTGAAGTGACTTTTCCAAAGTAACCCAGCTAGTAAATGCAAAGCTGGGACTAGAACCCAGGTCTGTCTCTATCTTCACATGGTTGCAGAGAGGACCCAGAGTATAGAGGGTGGTGCTGGTGGCAGTGTCAGGAGGAATCTGTTCAGATGGGACAGAGTCTTCCACAATGTGTCGTGAGGTTGCCAAGCCAGGATATAGGGCAACATGGAGGACCTTGATCTGGGGGTACTAGGGAGCTATTGAAGGTTTTGAACAGGGGAGTTAGGGCTGAACTTCAGGTAGTGAAGGACAAGGTAGGGAAGGAACTCTTTACTAACAAGCATCTGCCATATGTCATGTCCGGTGCCAGGGACTTTGTCTATGCATTTATTTTATTTAATTCTTATAATAGCCTGTTGGGTAGGCTCATTGTTCTCATTTTCTGTATCTGAGAAAACTGAAGCTCATAAAAGTTAAGTGACTTGCCCAAAGTTACACAGCCAGTAGGTGGCAGAGCTGGGATTCAAGCCAGGTCTGGCCCTAAAGCCTGTGCCTTTCCTCAGGGCTTCGAACTGGTTTGAACCAGTTCAGTCATAGCCTATGCAAAAAACCAGAAGAGATCTGAATTTTTAAAATTTGGTTGAACAGGAATGATAACCGGAATGGAAAAAATGGGTCAAAGTCCTGGAATGGGAGGTGCAGAAGAGGCTTGTTGTTGTTGTTGTTGTTATGTGCCGTCGAGTCGGCCCCGACTCATAGCGACCCCTCCTTGGGTTTCCGAGGCAGTATCACTACGGAAGTAGGATTGCCCAACCTTCCTTCCGGGAAGTGGCTGGTGGCTTAGTGAGCCTTTTCAGGAGGTTGATGTGAGAGATTGAATTATTGGCAAAATTGTGGAAAACGACACACATTCAAAGCAAGGCTGTCAGCCACCATCTTTGAGCCAGGCGCTGCTGTTTCCCACTCTGTGGGCAAGAAATTTGGTGGCTATCCAACAAGTATACTGCCCTAAGGGGGAGAAAGTCGGATCTGTTCAAGTGTTGGTTCCTTGACCGTGATTGAACTGGGCTGAACTGGTTTGAAGCCCTGCCTTTCCTATGCTACTAGCCCACTCAGTGTGGTAGTAGGAGCTGAGGGCATAGAATGGGGATTCTCTAGCTTGGAGTAGGAGGCCCATTGGCCTGGGGCCAAGGGCTCTATTCCAGAGAGGTGATCAGGGAAGACCCATGGGAAGTAACACTTGACCCCTAAGGCATGAGGACAGCCATGAAAAGATCTGGGAAGGGCCCTCCTGGCAGAAGACTGAGAGACTAGTATGTTTAAGGAGCAGCAGGGAGGCCAGTGTGGACAGAGCTTCAGAAGCAAGGGGTAGAGGGAAGAAGATGAGATTGGCAAGGGGACAGCACCAGACCACCCAGGTCCCTATTCGAAGCAGAGTGGGAATCCCTGAAGGGTTTTAAAGTGGGGAGTGACAAGGCCTGAATTCCAGAGAAGGACGATTTGGAAGGAACACCAGAGTGGTGACGGAGAGCATATGAAGGGGCCTTCATATGCGGGGCATCTAGAGGGATGTCTGAAGGCAGCTGGGGGTTGGCTTCAAGAGGTCAGAAGCAAGGTCTGGGATGTTGCTGGGGATATGAGAGCCCTTGGCACAGAAGGAGTAACCAAAGCCAGGAGGGCCTGAGTTCATGCAGGGCTGTGTTCAGGGTAAGAGAAGAGAGGAGTGACCAGGGTGGGCAGAGAGTACCAATGTCTTGCATGTGGGCCTGTGGCATGGGAAGGGGCAGAGGAAGAGGCAGCAGAGCCCACCCTCCCACCCCCTTGCTTCCTCCCCCTGCCTGCCCTCCCCATCCTGCCCTCAGGACCCCTGACCCTCCCCTGGGCTGTCAGATCGCCCCCAGGTTCAGTGCGTCAGGACATACAAGGCACTACAGCCAGATGAGCTGACCTTGGAGAAGACTGATATCCTAGCCGTGAGGACCTGGACCAGTGATGGTGAGAGGGGCGGCTGGGAAGACCTCCCTGATGGGGCTTCAGTAGGCAGGAAGTTCCTTTCACAGGAAAGGTTATGCAAGTGTTGATCAACAGCAGCATGCGGGAATCAGATTAGACAGGAAGAGAACTTCCTGCTCGCCAAAGCATTGTCTGGAGATGGGGAGAGGGGGAATACCCTTCTCAGAGGATGTCAGGAAAAACAGGTCAGATGTTCATCTATGGGACTGCTGGAGCAAGGGGCCTTACTGGAGCTGGGAGATGCTGAGGTGATGTCACCTTGGGCCCAGGGGTACAGATGAGGCTTGCATCAGGGCTGAGGTGTTCCCTCCCAGGTCAGGGCCTGGTGCTCCTTTGACATAACTCATGCTGCCCCTGGCCTGTGTGCCCCTAGGCTGGCTTGAGGGTGTCCGCCTGGCAGACGGTGAGAAGGGGTGGGTACCCCAGGCCTACGTGGAAGAGATCAGCAGTCTCAGTGCTCGCCTCCGGAACCTGCGGGAGAATAAACGGATCACGAGCGCCACCAGCAAAATGGGGGAGCCTCCTGCGTAATGGGCTGTGTGGCCTGGGACACTAGCTCCATGCCTGGATCCAGCACAGATCTGGAGGGGCCTACAGTGTCTCCATGCCCCCAAGCCACTGCTGCTGGGCACAGCCTGGACACAGGAGAGGGTAGGGCCTCCAAAGGGCCCCACTGTTCTCAGCCTCCCCAGTGCCCACTCTTCAGGCCACCAGCAGTTTCTTCTTTTGGTATGGGGACCATGACACATGACTGCTGATACCTGGCAAAGACTTGGGCCCTGTCCCTTCCATTTCCCTGAACTTACCTGACTCTTGGTCCCTTTGGTGGGGGCCTAACTGGAGATGACCCTGGTGTTGGTGGATGTTGGGACCTAGGTATACCTGGAGCCTCTTCTGCCACCTCCCCTGGCCAGAACCTGAGTGGGCCCTGGTTGCTGTGACTGCTTTGTAAATAAACTCCCATAATGCTTCTGCTCAGAGTCCATGAGCCACTTGATGCCACCCCCATCCAGGCCCCAGCTGAAGATCAGGAGGGGCTCTGGCTTCCTCTGATTTGCCTTTCTCTAGAGCTCGGAAGGAAGGTTGGGCAATCCTACTTCCGTAGTGATAACTGCCTCGGGAACCCAAGGAGGGGTTGCTATGAGTCGGGGTCGACTCGACAGCAAATAACAACAACAAAGAGCTCACATCAAGGAGCCCTGGTGGTACAATGGCTAAGTGTTCAGCTGCTAATCGAAAGGTTAGCAGTTTGAACCTACTAGCCACTCCATGTGATAAAGATGTGTCGATCTGTTCCTGTAAAGATTTGTAGTCTAGGAAATCCTATGGTCAGTTCTACTCAGTCATACAGTTCGCTGTGAGTCAGAATCTACTCAATGGCATATATCCACAGAGCTTACCTCTCAACCAGAGCAGGGGGCCAGGGTGGCAGAGGCTGTGTGTCAGTTAGGTTGCTTTCAGCTATAAGTAACAAAATATCTGATTCACATAGGCCCAAATAGCAAAGTGAAGTTATTAGTTCTTATGTTAATTTTCTATGGCTACTGTAGGATATTCATTGGACAGTGAATAAGGAAGACCGAAGAAGAGTTGATGCTTTTAAGTTGTGGTGTTGGCAAAGAATACTGAAAGTTCCATGGACTGCCAGAAGAACTAACAAGTCTGTCCAGGAAGAAGTGCAACTGGAATGCTCCTTGGAAGCGAGAATGGCTAGACTTCATCTCACCTACTTTGGTCGTGTTGCCAGAAGGGACCAGTCCCTGGAGAAGGATATCATGCTTGGTAAAGTGGAGAGTCAACGAGAAAGGGGAAGGTCCTCAATGAGATGGATTGGTACTGTGGCCGCAGCAATGGGCTCAGGTGTAGCAGGGATCGTGAGGCTGGTGCAGGACCGGACAGTGTTTCGTTCTGTTGTACATGGGGCCACTATGAGTTGGAGCTGACTCGACAGTACCTAACAACAACTTTAGCAAATTACCAGAAGCCAGGAAATTTAAAACAGAAGGTTACCCTCCCATGTGCTCTGTCCCTGGAGCCGTCTTCCCTGGAACCCCTAGAATGTGGGAGCTGCTGCAAAGGGAGAACAAAGATGCTGGAGAGGTCAGTGTTTACTGGGATCCAGGCCACTCCAGGGAGTGGAAGGACCTGGGAATAGTGACTTGGAGGTGTGTGCACTTGGGGAGTAGGACCATCCTTCAGCTCTCTGAAGGAGATGAGTTGGGCTAGTTCCTAAAGGCAAACATGGGGCTGATTGGAAAAAGCTCAGGCCTGAGAGGCAGCCTTTAGGAATGAATTTCTAACTTGAGATGTGCAGGGAGGTGGGGAGTGTGTGGGTGGAGGAGAAGGAACAACTCAGAAAAGGAGGGTAAGAAGAGTTGCCCAACTTGAAGAATGTAATCAATTCAAATTTGAATTCTGGTTCAGACATTTATTCTCCATGATTTTTTTTTTTAAATCCTTTGTTTTGGGATAATTTGTGCAAAATGTACAAAAAAGTCACAGAGATAGTACAGAGAGTTCCCGTACACCCCTGACTCAGTTTCTCTATTGTTAATGTCTTACACAAACATGGCATACTGGTCAAAACTAAGAAACCAACTTGGGAACGTGACTATGAACTGTGGTCCAGACTTTATCGGATTTCACTAGTTTTCCACTGATGTCTTTTTTCTCTGGTGGCGTAGTGCCTAAGGCATTTGACTGCTAATCAGAAGGCTGGCGGTTTAAACCCACCAGCCACTCCTTGGAAAGAAGGTTGGGCGATCTACTTCCATAAAGATTTATGACCTTAGAAACTCAAAGGGGGTCACTGTGAGTCAGAATCAACTCGATGGCAATGAGTTTGATTTTTTGGTTTAGTCCTTTTTCAGTTTCAGGATCCAGTCCAGGAGGCCACACTGTCACAGTCATCATGTCTCCTTACTTTCCTTTGGTCTCTGACAGTTTCTCACTTTTTTAAAAATTATTAGTTTTGTTGTTGAGAATATACACAACATAGGATGCACTGATTCAGCCATTTCCCCATGTACCGCTCAGTGACACTGTTTACATTCTTCATGTAATGTCTCTCTCCCTCCTTTTCGGAGTTGTTCCTCCCCCATTATAAACTCACTGCCCCCAACATTGCTATCTAATCTCTCGAGTTGCTGTTGTCAATTTGATCCCATAGAGATGTTCTTCAAAGAGCATAGCTCAAGGCAGACCTTTTTTTTTGTTTAGCTAAGCTAAATTATTATTTGGTTTTAAGACAGTTTCTCGTTTTTTTTTTTTTTTTTTCTTTTTGTGCCTTTGACACTTTTGAGGCGTTCTGTTCAATATTTTGTAGACAGTCTCTATTTGGGTTTATCTGGTATTTCTCTCATGAAAAGATAAGGAGCCTTGGTGGTGCAACGGATAAGCACTCAGCTGCTAACTGAAAGGTTGGTGGTTTGAACCCGCTCAGTGGCTTTGCAGGAGAAAGACTGGCAGTCTGCTCCCATAAAGATGACAGCCCAGGAAGCCCTGTGGGGCAGTTCTATGCCACTTGGGCTCATTCTGAGTCAGAATCAACTCAATGGCATCCAATTACAGCAACAGATAAGGGTTGTATGTTTTTGGGAAGAACACGGAGGTGAAGGGCCTTTCTTATCATATGATATTGAGGATATGTGATCTCCTCATGACTTATCACTGATGATGTT